ATTCCTGGGTCTTTATTTAATTTGTTATTTAGGATACCACCAACAGAGAGAGGTGAAGTATGTTTGCATTTTACAAAGATAGTGATAGTTCCATATGCACAAAGATAAGACAGAGGTTTGTCATAGCTTGACATTATTCCCATTGATGATATGTATGTACATATACTATTGTGTGCATAAGCCTGGATGTTATATCGTCTACCTTTTCTCCATCAGTAGCACTTCATCTGTCTTTTGAGGATGTCATTGCAAAGAGACAAAATTGCTATGAGGGGTCATGTTGTACTAGAGCTCTGAAACACCTTTTCATCATGAACCATACTCTGTCCAGGTAATCCAGTAAGTAGAAATGTATTTAAACAAGTTATTTATTCATTCATTTATTTACAGTATTTATATACTGCCTCTCTCTCTCTCTCTCTCTCTCTCTCTCTCTCTCACACACACACACACACACACACACACACACACACAATAAATAAGAATCAAAGTTCAAAAGGTTATTTCCAAGAAAGCCAAGAGTCCAAAATCCTTTCAAATACTGTCTCCGGAGTAAATCCACAAAGATATCCATAAACAAAATAGCATGAATACAAGGCAGGCAACCTATGACACACATGAGCAAGGAGCAAGAACAAACTTAAAAATTGAATACGTGAATTCCAAGAATATGTGAATTCCAAAACTGAGAGCTGTTCACCTGAATACAACTTTGCTCTCACAAAGGATTGTACCAGCAGGAACCACTTTAAAAGGCCTCAATCCCTCCCATAACATCATTTCTCACACACTTGCTTTTCTGTCCTTATCTCTAATTCTCTGTGGAAAGCAAGTCTTTGTTGCATGCCCTGTCTCTGCAATTCCAACTGCCTTGAATTAGACAAACATTTGTCTCCCACATTTCTCTCAGCCTGCACTTGAGAACTGATATTGTTTTCTCTAGTCTTGTGGAAACTGCCAGGAGATTTCAAAACTACTCTCTCTCGGCCACTTCTATCCATCTCTGGGCCTTCTGAATCTATCCAAGCATCCCCTTCCTCCTCTTCTGAGCACTCAGAACATATTAGGCTACAACAGGTCATCTAGTAGCCAGGAATTGTTCAAGATCAGAGACAGTAAAAGGCAGCATTTTAATTAATGGTTTTATATAGAATGACATAACCATAGCGTGGGAAAGGACCACAAAGGTCATCTAGTCTAAAGCCCTCTCTTATACAGTACAATACTTGTTCAGATATGCTATGTAGCCTACCATTCTTTCAAAGAGCAAATCTGTGGTTTAGGTTAGGCTAAAACTAATATTTGGCTCTGGATCTCCTGAACTTCATGGGTGAAAATATGCAGTTGAACCAGAGTCTTTATAGACCCCATCTTATTTTCTAGCCTGTGACGGCGCGAGTGGCGCCACCTATGTATAGAACTGTTAGTTGTAAGACTCAAACTGTTGTATCATGCTTAATCCTGCCCCTTTTTACACTGCTTATGTATAGTTGTATGGATTGGTTGCTTGTAGCTGTCAATCAGTACGGTTTGGCTCCACCTCTTCCTGCAAGAGGGGAGAACTTCCTTTTTCTTTTCATTCTGCCTTCAGAGTTCGTACCAGATGGATGTGAGTAAGAGACCTGACTCTAAAGGACCCTGATTTAAGTTACCTCTTAGCACCAGTTCTGAGTTTTTTAACCCCTGGGACTCATGCTTTATGTCCAGATCGTCCTGGACAATTATTGAGGAGACCCAAGCGCCTTCAAGCCAGTTTTTTTGGCACCAAAGGAAGATCCTGAATCTTCAAAACATAGGCCATCTGAACTGGGGTTGTGGTTTGCTTCGGCATTCACAGCCATTGAGGAAAGAGGAAACTTGGTGAGGCTTCTCAGCTTCAAACCCCTTGGACCCAGGACTGATTGAGACTGTAATGTATGTTTTCCTTCACCCCTCTAAAGTTTTCCAGCTCATTGCTTTRAAGAAATGACTTTGTGATAAATAAAACTTATTTTGAGCTATTTACAGCGTTTTGGGTTTTTGGGAGTTCCAGTTTCCTATAGGAGGGCAAGAAGCAATCCCTTGGGGGAAAGATGCCACGTCCACCCCTCCTTTATTGAGAATAATAGCCCCCAGGCGCGACGGCACATAGCCATTCCTCATTTTATTCCCTGGGCAGAGTTTTGTTTAAACTTACAACTCTCTAGTCAGTCTGGTCATCAAACAGAAGTCAAAATCTGTTCTTAGTCTTAGAAGGTCCCAATGATTGTTCCAAATAGATCAGCAGTGAACCTTTACATTTCAGTCCTATTGTGTTCAAGGAGGCATCTGTACATAATACCAGTCGCCTAGAACAATTTTCAACCATCAGAAAAACTTCAATGAGTTAGAAGATGGAGTGTGAGGAGTGATCAAGGTGGAAGGCCCTACAGATAATTTGTGCAAACATTTGCCCAAGAATATAATGGATCCATGTTTTAAACAAGATTTACATGTTTCTTCAGGTGTTTTGTAGATCGAAGCAACACAGTAGACATCTGATGGAAGTACATTTAGTGACATGGGCACCTCGGTTCACCAAAAGCTTTCATTTCTATACTTGACCATGTCTGCCCTTCATTCCAGGAAATTACACCTCGTATTCCATATAGAAGTAGAAAAAATGGCCTTGTACTATAAATGCAAGCACAATATTCATCAGGTTGCCCTTGAGTTTGCATGACGGCAAGGGTGAATGAGGTCAGGAATAGCAAGAATGGAACTAATGGTGTAGAAATAGTTTTCTGCTTCATTGATCAAATCTGACAAGCAGTCATGGTGGGAATTTCTGCCTGTGGAAAGGAAGTTTATTCACTACCTCTGAGTAATGAATAAACTTCCTTTATTCACTACCTCTGAGACCTCACTACCTCTGAGGATGCTTGCCATAGATGCAGGCGAAACGTCAGGAGAGAATGCCTCTAGAACATAGCCATATAACCGAAAAAACCTACAACAACCCAGTGATTCTGGTCATGAAAGCCTTTGACAATACAGTTTATTAATTTCTCTAACAGTAGGGAAATGCTAAATAGAATGGCCAAATAATGCATCACCAGTAAAATGTAATGGGGATTCCAGTGTGTTCTCCCAAACAAGGAAGAAATTTTGAGTTTCCCTGAATGGGGCCTGTTAAATTCCCCTGTGTTAGATCATTTTAGAGACATTAAAGAGTGGGCATTTCTGTGGGCAGTCTCAAAATGAGACTCAATGCTCCTTTTCTTGCCAGTAATCCTCTTGCATGAAAATTTTACAATAATTTTTTTAAAAAAGTTTATTTTTCAGGAATTGCAAAATTTTGATATATTACCACTTCACTGTGACTTCACTGTGACTGTATCCCCCTCCCACCCCCTTAGACCTAGATTTTGGACTTCTGCAATTGCGAAGTTTCCCTTTTTGAAAGAAAAAAAAGAAACAATGTGGAATGGGCAGGGACTATGCTCACCCATGTGATAGCTCAGAATGAGGAGGATTTGTGATGGGGTGAATATATTATCTGTTTTCTTTGTAAATGGAGCAGAGTGAAACACTATGGTAGGAAGATGATTTCCCCCTCCCCACTCTCATGGGAGGATGTCTTAAAATTCATTTGCCTCTTGGCAGAGACCTACCTAACTACATCCTGACTTACAATTATCTCTTTTGCTGAACAGTTTTTCATTCTTATTGTCATTCTCTTGTCACGTTGTTCTCAGGAGTTCAGTTCCGGTTCTGAAAATATGTAGTTGTGATGTTTGGAACACATGTGTAAGAGTTAGATAAAACCAATGCCTTCCACATTATCATTAGGTTGTTATCAAAAGTGAGCCAAATAAAATTATCAACTATCTGCATGATCCAAATCCTCAGGGATAGGTATCCTTGCTAGGAAGAGGAGCACATGGTACTGCTTGCCACAGAGATGTTAAAGGTGAGAATCCTAACAGGAGAAAGAGAATAATTCAGGCATGGGTAAACTAGGGCCCGGGGGCCAGATGTGGCCCCCTGGATGCTTACCTCAGGCTCTCCTAATTTTCCCTGTCCTCTTGGCAGGAAGACATGGCGGCCTGCCCCGTCTTTATGCTAAAAAGATGGGGGAGAAAGGCACATAGCATCTGAAAGCCCTCTGGAATGTTCTTAGCCATAATGTGTCTTGACCTCCTTCCAGCATAAGGATGGTGCAAGCGGCTCCATCTTTATGCAAGGAGGACAGCTTGAAGAAGGCATGCGGTGGCCGAGAACCCTCCGGAGCACTCTCAACAGTGGCCTGTCTCACCCTCCTCCCAGCATAATGCCAAGAGGGCAGCCCAGGGATTGTGGGGGAGGATGGGGAGAGGGATCGGGGCAGTTGTCACATGTCCCACCTCACTACCGGTATAAGCATAGGCGAGCAGCCCTGTCCTTATGCTGGAGGACAACCTGAGGACGACCTAGGCCCTGCCTTGGCCCCTCCTGGCCTCGCCCTCTCCTGCCCACTCCCAGGCCATCCCACCCAGCGTGTGCCTGGGCTCCCTGCCTCTTTGCCCAGCTTTCCTAGCCAAGCCTGCAGTACAGCCCCAAGACAAAAAAAGTTGGCCCATGCCTGTAATAATTCATCAGAACCTAAAACATACACAGAGATTCAAAGCCAGACTTTTAATGGCTCAATATTCAGAAATTTTATTGACTGGTTGATTGGTGAGTTTAGCTTTATTTCTGTTTTTCCCTTCAAATTTATGAAGAGATTTTGGAATTAGAGAAAGTTTGTATAGAATAATACACTGACTAAAATCCTCCACCCTGGTCTTGCAGCTTGTGATCTCCCAGCTAGTTTAATAAATGAATGAACAGATGAATGGGGAAAAGAAAGGGAAAGGAATGGCCATGGGCACCTGCATATGAACATTGTGGCCGGGTCCTCACTGTAGTCTGACAGTGAAGTCTTTGTGCTTCCCTTGTTGATTGAGCTACTGGCTGCTGGCTCAGTGCTTTTCTCCAATCATGAAACATCTAGCAAGCCCACTGGGTTGGAGGGAAAGGGAAGGTGGTGGGGGTTTTAGAGGACAAATAAAATAAGGCATCACAAAAGTGGGGAAGGAAGCTCTCTGAGATTGCACTAGTCAGCAAAGTGGCATGTGGCCACAAACAGCATTCAGATGAAGGCAGACCAATGAAGATAACTATAGGGACAAAATACAGGACACCAGCCAGGAAGTGGGACCAGGTTTGTAGCTTCACACTTTTTCTTTGCTTCCCCAGCCATCCTTTTGATGTCCCTTTCCTTCTTATTATCTTTGGGGCACGCTTGGGGGACTGTGATTCGCCTTCCCCATTCCTAATGTCATTGGAGAAGGAAGAAGAGAAGATAGTACGGTGCCAGATAGGCACTGTACAAAGGATAGATATAAGTCTGAATGCAGGCAATTTATCATATTTCATCTTGCTGCTTGTACTTGATTGAGAAGCAAGTGATTTTATGAATTTTAGCAGTGCATTCATTTATTAGTCTGTTCCTGTGATCACTAAAGTTTGTGAGTGCTTGTCTCCTTAAAAGACTATCTAGAAGTTTATATTTTATATTTTGTCCCCCTAACATGATTGATTGCAGTATAACAGACAGCAATGCAGGAACTGCATATGGGAGTAGTGGAAGGAGAAGATTTTAGCAAAACTTAAGATCAGAAAATACTCCATTCCACATCTCTTTTTCCCTTGAGCTACCATTGCAAATACTGCAAGGTGCAGAAGCTAGCATCATGTTAGTTGCTATTGGAAAGCAGTCACAGTACAGTTACTGAATAGCTGATATTGTTTTGTATGATATGCATCTTATTTACAGGTACATAGACTGAACACAGATTTAGCCAGAAGACCTAAACACTCCAGCAGCAAATAAAACTAACATCTGACCTTGATAGAAAGGCAGCTCTCTGAAAAAGCACTTTCCAGAATTCAGAACTAAAAAGCTGGAAAGAGGAAAGTATATCTTAGTCTAACTTTTTCAGATGTGTCTATTTTCCTAATAACTGTGTTTCTGACCCTTAAGAACATTTCAAATGGTTTTTCTTCTGAGCCCTCTTCTGATTAGCTTTTCACAGGGGGCTGAAATTGACAGCATGTGCCGGTTTTGCCTAGGTCATCTATGGAGCCTGCCAACTCTCATCAGACGCCCTCGCTATGGCTTAGTGGGTAAAGAAGGGAGGAGCCGGTGCATGTGCCACTAGGGCAACATGGGAGGGCTCCCATGTTGCCACTGGAATGCATAGGGGGAAGCTGTGCACTCCACACTTCCCCTCATCTGATTGCCCTTAGCTGGAGCAGGGCGATGTGGGATATGGGACACCGGGTTGGTTCCCTATGCCCCTCAATGAAGCAGAGCACCTTCAGCAGCCATGTGACAAAGTTGCAATTTCTGTTCAAATCCATATATTTTAAAATAAGCCAATCTGGTTATTTGCCTAAGACAGCAAAATAACTTAGACTGATACTGCTGAAAGGATTTTTTAATAGAGACCTACATATTGGCCAAAAGGAATGGATGGCTGGAAGTGAAAAAGTACTTTAGAGGTCGGTGTGCAGTTAATCCACTTCCCACAAATGTAACACTCCAATTTTTGCAGAGTTCCTAGATTTCATGAAATAATATTTTGTACATATGATAGCAGAATATAGCAGGCGCTAAAGTTGGAACATATGGCTAGCAAATAATAGGGAGGAAAAATAAGAAAACTTAAATTTATTGTTTCAGGAAATCCATTCAACTATAGGTTATGGCTAAATAAATCTAGACTTGGACTGAAGGCTTTTTGGTGTCCTGCCCTGCTTTTAAGGTCACTCTCACACATTTTAATCTAAAGTCAAATTTGACTTGTAAGCCATACTGATCTCTTACCTGAAATCACACACAGATGGTATGTGGGTCAATGGTGCAAGGGCAATGGGAAGGGGATTTTGGCAGCTCTCTCCTCATTCTACTCTATCAATTTGTCATGGAGACCTGTGCATCGTGAATTCTCAAAAACTTTTTAAAGGATGCTGAATGTAGAATGAGAGTCAAAGGGGGCTATGTGGTCCTTGTTTGCCTCCAAACCAGGAGGCATTACTTGACACTCACACCAAATCTCACTCTCCATATGGTGCCGAGCCTACTCTCATTATCTGAGAGGGGAAAAATGAAAGTATAACCTTAGAAAATGAAGAAGGCTATAAAGACTTGCAGTTGTGGTATGCCTTCATGTCACTTTTGATTTCTGGCTACTTTAAGACAAACCTATCATGGTTTTTTATTGGCATACTTTGTACAGAGGGGTTTTTCCCTTGCCTTTTTCTGAGAGAGACACAGTGTAACTTCTCAAGGTTGCCCAGTAGGTTTTCATAGTCCAGTGGAGGTTCAAATCCTGGTCCCCAGATTCCTAGTCCAAAACTCTGATCACTGCACCATGTCGGCTCTCAGCATTGCAAATCACACGTAGATCTAGAAGAGGAATTAGGGGAAAGCATCAGAGTCTACCCGCATATTGTTCAACCAACTGGTTGAGTGTACTTGCGATGGTATTGTCGCTTAATGAACAATATCATGCCTAGAGGAAATGATTGTTAAACCTATTACACACATCCAGGATCCAGTCTCTTTATCTGATATCTTTGGGATTTCTCTTTTGCTACAGTTGCAATGGGGTCTCGCCATTTCCCGGCCCGGACTGTCCTGTTTGAAAGGGAGACAAGCGGAGTGACATACCGAGTGCCAGCGCTACTCCACATCCCATGTGTAGCCAAACTGTTGGCTTTTGCAGAAGAGCGCCTGAGTGTTGATGATGCCCATGCCAACCTCCTGGTGCTGCGGAGAGGCACATTCTATAAGAACTTTGTGGAGGTAAAACAGAACAAAAGCACTTCTTTTGGAATTGTTAGTTATGGCTGAAAATCTTAGAGAAGAAATATCGGAAAATTTGCCTTGTCTCTATAGTTGTTTCTTTGCCAGCTCTTTTGTTGTTGGAGACAATATGCTTTGTACCACACTTGTATAGCAAACAGAGTGTTCCAGACTGAGCAGTTGGACAGATAAAGAACAGTCTTCCCACTCACCATATTTAGATCCTGCTGCAACCTGCTCATTTTGGTTTGCGCCACACATTGGGCGCATTATAGCGGTAGAGCACAGTAAGAAATGTGTGGCCTTGGCCAGGTCAAGGGCTTGACCAATGATAAGTGAAAGGCTAACTAGACTTCACAGACAGCCCTTTTTCTGATTTCAAAGAAAGACAAATTGCTCAACAGTTTTTCAAAAATTTGTTTTGTTCTTCACATTTTTAGCATTTCTAGCAGTGTGTGGAGCATCTGGAAGGTTCATCCCAACATAATGTGTGAGCGTACTTCTTGGGTTGGCTGTGGGAGGTGTATCGCACTTGCACACGCAAAGAAGGGAGGACCCGGTGCAAGTGCCACTAGGACAACACGGGAGGGCTCACATGTTGCCACTGGAATGCATAGGGGGAAGCTGTGCACTCCACACTTCCCCTCATCTGATTGAGCCTGGTACTTAACTACTATAATATTACACTAAAGTATCTTATTACATTACCTCTTGATTGTACTTTTTAAAAAATGCTCAATGGTAATGGGCAAAAATTACTTTTTAAAGTGTTGCATGAGACTGAATATGAGATGTAATCAGTGGAAGGAGAAAGGGAAACGATACAATGTAGGAAAGGAAGGAGGTAAATCCAACAAGAGAGGACTAGATGCAAACTCATAAACCTGCAGATACAAGCAAAAAAAAAAGAATTGAAAAGTGTTTGAGGCAGTTTAGTTGCAAACAGTTTGGATTTCCTTAGGTTTTCTTTGTCTCCCTGCGTCAGTCCTGTGCGAGAGCCACAGTTTAACTCAGTTTGGATGGATTTCCTTCAGTTTCTTTTCTCTCCCGCGTCAGTCCTGGGTGGGAGCAGCAGTTTAAGCCAGTTTGGATGGATTTCTTCCCTTTGCTCCCCCTTCTGGAATAAAACAACTACTTTCAAAGTAAAGACCACCCAATGAAACAGGGAAAAAAAAAACAATTTGAAACCATTAATGAAGGATTCGGAAGTCTCGGAAGTTTTGAAAAGTTTTGAACTTTTTTTCTGTGAAAATCGGAATTGACTTTCGAGCCAAACCACCAGCTCCCCCTACATCCGAAATGAGTTTTGAACCATATTTTGGATCAAATAAGCCTACTAGTTAGCTACCTAACCACAGTAGCTATGTAACAATAGTTTCATAACTACATAGTAGGCATGTGCAATCCATAGGTCTAAATGGTTCTAAAGTACTTACAAACTAGAGGGCGCTGGTGCTTTGCTTCTAAAGTGTTGCTAAAGTTCTGGTGGTGAACTCTTAACAAAACTTTCAAACTATTTCAGAATTCTTAACAAAACTTTCAAAACTTCATTATTATTTTGTTATGACAGAACCAATTAGAAACTGTCACTTATAACAAAATTTTGAAAGTTTTGTTTGAGTTCTGAAATTTTCACCACCAGAACTTTAGCAACACTTTAGATGCAAAGCACCAGTGTCCCCTAATTTTGTAAGTACTTTAGACCCATTTAGAACTATGGATTGCCCATGTCTACTACATAGTGTATGACCACCTTATGTGCAGGACCAGGGCCAGTGGTTTCACCTTCACACATCCACAACAAAGGCATTTTCTAAACCCTTCAGTGTGATTCTATTTAATCCTTCCTGTCCACAGGAAGTCATTCATTTTAATAGATCTCACTATTATCTTCAGTTTCTAATTTCCATGGTATATCCAGAAATATGTCCCCTGCAAATATGGGGGCTGTATTGTACTGTTCACTGACTTGACCGCACTTTCCAGGAGTCAACAAGTATGATGGGCTCGTGCTGGTCTACTATGGAAGCAGCTCATGAACATTCCCACTCCTTCTGATGAACAATTTCCAGTGCAACAACCAGAAGTAGGATTCTTGTTGCAATTCGTCCTCATGAGAGATTGCTCATGCAAAGGGGTAGTGGAACACAACTGGTTGCTTCCCAATTGACAAGCAAATAGACTTCCCAAAGCAATAATATCCAGTTCTTGTGGGTTTTTTCGGGCTATATGGCCATGTTCTAGAGGCATTTCTCCTGACGTTTCGCCTGCATCTATGGTAAGCATCCTCAGAGGTGAGGTCTGAATAATATCCAGTTTGCTAGATATTCTCTCCTATATTTTCACTGGCTTCAGCTTTGGATTTGGTCTCTTGGTTGGATAAGCAACACTATGTATTCATGGGTTTTATTTCACAACAAGTTTCATAAGCAAGTTCTAAACCAACAAGAGTAAGAAAGTAAATGAAGTTCCTATCTTCTTTTGCTATTTCTTTGTCAGTGGGAAGACATGCGAGCCCTTGAAACTGCAACTCTGCCACACCATCGCTCTATGAACCCTTGCCCCATCTATGATGAGCTTACTGGCATGGTCTTCCTGTTTTTCATTGCTGTCCTGGGCAGGACCCCTGAAGCCTTCCAGATCATCACAGGCGAAAATGCTGCCCGTCTCTGCTATGTGTCTAGTTCTGACCAAGGCATCAGCTGGAGCCACGTGACGGACCTCACCCAGCATGTTATTGGCAGGGCCATTGATGGTACAAAAACTTTGGTAGTAGTAGCTGACATAAGGGTTGAGGGGATATTTTTCTTCTACACTTCTCTGAGATCTTGTAACATAAATATTTTAAGAAACATAAAACGAGGGAAGACTGAACCGGACAAAACTTCTGGAGGGATGGCTGTAACAGTTTACTACAACAAAAATGATTGGATGTTTAGTTGATGGTTAAACAAATTTGATCACATCCATTTCGTGTCTAATGAAGACAGTGGTTTACTGGCCCATTACACAAGCAAGCCTGGGATTTCTGTTGCATTACTACTGTGCAATTTTTTAAAACTGTATTTGAATCATCACTAACTGTCTCTTTGCATTCCTCTGCTATATTACTCCACTTTTCACTTTTTTGGGGTGCTATTTCAATGTGTATAATCCGGGGAGAACACTTCATATTTGTGACGAAATACGTCTCTGCCTCTGCCATAATAGATCTTTGATCTTTGCTGTTTCTCAAGAGCCTTTATAGCAGTAGCTGTTCTTAACTATCCCTTTTCCTTTTCGATACAGATTGGGCCACTTTTGCACTAGGCCCTGGCCATGGCATTCAGCTCAAATCAGGTCGCCTCCTATTGCCTGCCTATGCTTACCACATCGACTGCAGGGAGTGTTTTGGAAAGCTCTGCAAGACAACCCCACATGCTTTCACATTCTACAGTGATGACCATGGACAGAGTTGGCAATATGGTGAATTCATTCCAAACCTGCAGACGGTTGAGTGTCAGATGGTATCAGTGGATGAGGAAGATGGAACCAATATGCTGTATTGCAATGCCAGAAGCCCGTTGGGTTTCCGGGTGCAAGCACTCAGCACGGATGATGGAGCCGTGTTTCATGCAGGGCAGCTGGTGCAGAGGCTTGTAGAAACCCCTCATGGCTGCCATGGCAGCATCATTGGGTTCCCAGCACCACTTTATTATATGCATGGCAATGTCTGCAGATTCCAGAAAACAACATGGCCAGCTAAAGGTATAAGCTCTTTATTGCAGTCCGAAACTGATGAGAGACCTAAGCCTTTTTCACCTACCATTTCCGTATGCAGTCATCTTATAGGTGGCCAACAGCAACAGGAAAAATTTGCATCACTCAGAACTTGTAGTCCCAAACACAACATCATTCCTGGTCACATCACCTCGGATACAGCCAACATCAGTGAAGATAATCAGGGAGGCAGAACTATTTCCCAATCAGGAATTATTTTCCAAATCCCCACATGGGTGCTTTATTCCCACCCAACAAGCTCCAGATCCCGAGTCAACTTAGGGATTTACCTCAGCACATTTCCCAGGGATGCTGAAAGCTGGTCTGAACCTTGGATTATTTATGAAGGGCCCAGTGCCTACTCAGACCTGGCTTACATTCAGCTGCCTTACTCAGAGGTCTCTGTCACTGGGATCCCAGCCATAGCTTTTGCCTGCCTGTACGAGAACGGGGTGAGGACCCCCTATGAGCAGATCTCCTTCAGCATGTTTACCCTGCATGAAATTCTTCAGAACATTCCTCTAGCAACGTCTTCTGCCCGACTGAAGAAGCCAGAAGACGGAAAAAGAAAGAAAAGGAGTTGCGTGCTCTTCTAAAGCTCAGGTCTGAGGACCAGACAAATGAGTGCACAGATCCAAACTGATCACGAGAAAGTAAGTCAAGGATTCTTCACTCCCATTTGAGCATTGACATGGAGAGCTTGGGATTTTCATGGGAACTGCAAAATGTAGACATAAAAAGAGAGATAATAAAAAGAAAAAGAGAAAGCAGGAGATGAAAACAATGTCAGAGTTGTACATATGTTTATTTGGGGTAGATTGTCTTTAGGCTCTCCAGATTGATTCATCAGGCTCTCTGTGGTCATGAACTAATTAGAAACTAAAGCAGTAAAAGAGCCCCTGGTGGCACAGCAGGTTAATCTGCTGAGCTGCTGAACTTGCTGACCAAAAGGTCAGCATTTCGATTCCAGGGAGCAGGGTGAGCTCCTGCTGTTAGCCCCAGCTTCTGCCAACCTAGCAGTTCGAAAACATGCAAATGTGAGTAGATCGATAGGTACCACCACTCCATGCAGTCATGCTGGCCACATGACCTTAGAGGCGCCTGAGGACGGGCTGTTCAGCTTAGAAATGGAGATGAGCACCACCGCCAAGAATTGGACATGACTGTACTTAATGTCCAAGGGAAATGTTTACCTTTACCTTAAGGCACTAAAAGAAAGGCAAGTTGATTTATTTTTCCATTTGAAAACATAAGTCATTCTATTTTAACATTAAACCCATCTCTATTCAGGATGAAATTTAGAGGCCTCTTAGTGGGCCCCTAAATCTCTGTGGGAAGGATGTAGTGGGTTTCTCACAACAGCCTATGTCAGTGTGGAGATAAATTCAGGTGTTGCATAAAAAGTGGCACACAAATGGGGCTACATGTGGATTTTTTTCATATCAGTATTCATAGGGCAGCTATTGTCCTTTAAATGAAAAACAATGCAGGGTGAGCAGAGCCTATGGATTTTTCAATATGAGATATTGACAGACAGTGTATTTTTATGTACATTTTTCCAGTGGATATTCATATGAGAGTTTCATCTCTGCATCAATGAACGTTCTTTTAAAGTACATATGAAAATGCATATAACCATACATATCCTTTAATGTATGTTCTCACAAAACATGCCTTTGTAAACACATTGTTCTAAAATATATGTTTTGAAATAAATGTTGGTACATTCTTTTGAGCAGGAAACTGATTGGCAAAATTAAAAATACAGAAAACTTTATGGAAACTTTTTCTCAGAAATCCACTTAGTCTTCCGCTCCCATAGTGTCGCTGCTCCAAGACAGGTTTAAAAGACTGAAATACATCTCTGTGAAGTATGGAAAGTGACCTATTTCCTACAGCAGCTTCTCGTTACTGCTTTGTGGGATAAATTGCCTCCTGGCAATGATGATAGAGCTTCTCTGAATGCAAATAATGTCATAACTTCAGGAGAAGAATTTTCCGCAGGATTGCATCTAAATTCTCCTTGCTACCTAGCTCAGATCCCATGAATGAAGAGCTCATTTTAGCTAATGTAATTCGCAGTTTTGAGATATATATATCAAAAGACACACTTATTTCTTATCTAATGTGAATCTGAGGGACAGAGAAAGTTGTCTTTAAACTCAGCTTTTAAAGGAAAAATTTTGAGCATCCATTGTTGTTGTTCATTCGTTCAGTTGTCTCCGACTCTTCGTGACCTCATGGACCAGCCCACGCCAGAGCTCCCTGTCGGCTGTCACCACCCCCAGCTCCTTCAAGGTCAGTCCAGTCACTTCAAGGATGCCATCCATCCATCTTGCCCTTGGTCGGCCCCTCTTCCTTTTGCCTTCCACTTTCCCCAGCATAATTGTCTTCTCTAGGCTTTCCTGTCTCCTCATGATGTGGCCAAAGTACTTCAACTTTGTCTCTAGTATATTTCCCTCCAGTGAGCAGTCGGGCTTTATTTCCTGGAGGATGGACTGGTTGGATCTTCTCGCAGTCCAAGGCACTCTCAGAACTTTCCTCCAACACCACAGCTCAAAAGCATCTCCCTTCCTTCGCTCAGCCTTCCCTAAGGTCCAGCTCTCACATCCGTAGGTTACTACAGGGAATACCATGGCTTTGACTAGGCGGATCTTTGTTGCCAGTCTGATGTCTCTACGCTTTACTATTTTATCGAGATTGGACATTGCTCTCCTCCCAAGAAGTAAGCGTCTTCTGATTTCCTGGCCACAGTCTGCATCTGCAGTAATCTTTGCACCTAGAAATACAAAGTCTGTCACGGCCTCCACGGTTTCTCCCTCTATTTTCCAGTTGTCAATCATTCTTGGCACTGCTAAATTGGGTCTGCCATCTGCTGGCCAATACCTGTTAGTTCAATCTAGCAGAAAATTCCTACTCAACTAAGTACAAGTTTAGTATCTGTTATCCAAAATGCTTGAGACTAAAAGAGATTTGGATTTCAATTTTTGGAATAGTTATATTTACATTTATAGATACCTTGGAGCAGGGACCCAAATCTAAATAGAAAATTCATTTCTGTCTGGGTTGTTGTGAGTTTTCCAGGCTGTATGTCCATGTTCCAGAAGCATTCTCTCCTGACGTTTCGCCCACATCTATGGCAGGCATCCTCAAAGGTTGTGAGGTCTGTTGGAAACTTGATAAGTGGGGTTTATATATCTGTAGAATATCCAGGGTGGGAGAAAGAGCTCTTCTGTTGGAGGCAGGTGTAAATGTCGCAACTGGCCACGTTGATTAGCACTGAATGGCCTTACAGCTTCAAAGCCTGACTGGCTGCTGCCTGAGGAGATCCTTTGTTGGGAGGTGTTAACTGGCCTTGATTGTTTCCTGTTTGGAATCCCCCTGTTTTTTAAGTGTTGCTCTTTATTTATTGACCTGATTTTAGAGGTTTTTTCAAACACTGGTAGCCAGATTTTGTTCATTTTCAGGTTATTCTCCTTTCTGTTGAAGTTGTCCATATGCTTGTGGATTTCAGTGGCTTCTCTGTGTAGCCTGACATGGTGGTTGTTAGAGTGATCCAGCATTTCTGTGTTCTCAAATAATATGCTGTGTTCAGGTTGGTTCATCAAGTGCCTGCCATAGATGTGGGGAAAGGTCAGGAGACAATGCTTCTGGAACATGGCCATACAGCCTGGAAAACTCACAAGAACCCTGTGATTCCAGCCATGAAAGCCTTCGACAACATATTCATTTACGTCATTTATGTTTATGCATGAAAGCAAGTCTGTGTTACTTGAACCATCAGAAAGTAAACGTGTCTCTATTTCAGCTACCTATGTGGACAATTTTGGATTTTGAAGTATTTAATATTTCAGAAATCCAGATAAAGGATGCTTAATCTGTCCTTGGAGAAGTTATTCTGGACAACTCCCAGAGTCCACTGTGGTTGTTAGCAGATTGTGGAAGATATCACTCACAGGGTAACATTTCCAAGCTCATTGTAGTACCAGGCTCAGCCTTTCAAACACCACTCTCAATATTGGTTCTTATTATTTTTTACCAACTTTCAAACCCAAAGTCTTTTCCAGTTCAGTGTCTTCCACAGTCTTTCGTTGCTCTTCTCCTCCACATGGAGAAGAGAACTTGTGGTTTTACAGCTGCTATTAGACTACAACTCCCACCAGCCTATTAACAATTTATTTATCCCATCCTTTATCATGAAATCTCAGCATGGCACATGGAGTCCCCGGTGGCGCAATAGGTTAAACCCTTGTGCCGGTAGGACTGATGACTAAAAGGTTGGCTGTTCAAATCCAGGAAGCGGGGTGAGCTCCTGTCTGTCAGCTCCAGCTTCTCATGCGGGGACATGAGAGAAGCCTCCAACAGGATGGTAAAACATCCAGGTGTCCCCTGGGCAACATCCTTGCAGACAACCAATTCTCGTACACCAGAAGCGACTTGCAGTTTCTCAAGTCACTCCTGACACGAAAAAAGAGAGCATGGCACATTCATTTATTAAATATATTTATAATATTTACAATCAAATACAGTGTTAAGTCACCTGAAGACTTATGGTGATCCCATACATTTCACAGGTTTTCTTAGGCGAGGAATAGGCAAGAGGTGGCTTTGTTGGTTACTTCTTCCAAAATATAGCCTACAGCACTTGCTATTTATTGGCAGTCCCCCATCCAACTCTCCCTGAATCCCTCAATATTAGGATGGAAGATTAAACCAGACAATCTGGTACAAGTGGGGCTTGGTTATTCGATTCATGCCGCCTTTATATACATCTTTCCCTTCAGAAAAAATCAAAAACTCTTTCATCTTGAGTTTCAAACCAACATTTTGGTCAGGAATTAAGAGCCTGAGGTGCTCAGGAAGTATAAATAAATAAATATTTCAGAAACATCTTAAGCAATAACCTCAAGTCAGCTTTTAGCTCTGTGGTACAATAAGAGTTCTTTTAGTGGTTCTGATTTCAGTCTACATTTCCTGACAGTGGCTGTCCAATGAAGACAGGAAGACAACGAAATATACCTTCTCAACCTTCCTAATGCCGTGACCCCTTAATACAGTTCCTCATGTTGTGGTGACCCCCAACCATAAAGTTATTTCCGTTGCTACTTCATAATTGTGCTACTGTTATGAATCGTAATGTAAATGTCTGATATGTAGGATATATTTTCATTCAATGAACCAAATTTGGCACAAATACCCAATATATCCAAATGTGAATACTGGTGGGGTTGGGGGGGATGTTGATTGGCAAAAGTATGATAGCTGGGACCCAATGCTGAGACATTGCAGCGAGTGAGAGACGTAGGTGCAACAGAATTGTGGCAAGATAGTTTGCCAGAAAGGGGGGGGGAACAGAAGGGGGGGACAACAAACAGACAAGCATAGTGCTTAAGGCTATCCAGATAGCCTATGCAAACACGTTCAAACACATAACGTCTTCGCTTCTCTAATTCTGCAGTGAGCATTGGGTCCCAGCTATCATACTTTTGCCCACCAATGATTGAATTGAACCAAAATTGGCACACAGAATTGTCATGACCAACAGAAAATACTGGAAGGGTTTGGTGGGCACTGACCTTGAGTTTTGGAGTTGTAGTTCAGAGAGCACTGTGGACTCAAACAATGATGGTTCTGGGTCAAACTTGGAACGAATACTCAATATGCCCAAATGTGAACACTGGTGGATCTTGGGGAAAATAGACCTTGACATTTGGAAGTTTTAGTTGCTGGGATTTATAGTTCACCTACAATCAAAGAACATTCTGAACCCCACCAATGATAGAATTGGGCCAAACTTCTCACAGAGAACTCCTAGGAACAACAGAAAATACTGTGTTTTCTCGTGGTCTTTGGCGACCCCTCTGACACTTCCTCACGACCCCCAGGTTGAGAAACACTGTCATAGAAGGCGAGCCATTAGAAATGCTGACATGGGAGTTACTTTGGCTTCTGCCTTCCAAGTAGGTGATCTGGACTGAGTGAGGGAGATCACTTTTTAATACTCACCACCATTTGTTTCAGATCTTCCCTTGTTGGAATTGAGATGGAGGAAAGAAGACCATTAATCTAACAGATGGGAAGCTAACAGAGGCAGACCATAAGTTGCAAAACACTGCTGAGTCCATGTTACCTATTTCTTCTTAGATAAACCGCAGAAACATCCAAAGCAGCTATTGAGGATAAGGAGAGCAGCCAGGATCATCTCCACAACGTTGATGATAAGGAGGGCAGAGAAGAAATAGACATTCCAGGCCACAACGTTATGTGGCTCGATGCAAACAGATTTCCAAAGGGAGGGATCGTACAAGTAATTCTGAGACCTAAAAGAAATGGATTTCAAATGAAAAAAGTTGTAGGAGCAGAGAGCCAATATGTTTTCTAAGAGTTCAAATAATTAGATGTTCTTTTTGTATGCTTCTGAAATGCTAGTTATAATTTTGGGTTTATGCAATTTTTTATATTTCAGCTTTCACCTCTGAGTATTCTTTGCATATAGATTCATGAGGGTACCATAAATTCTCAGGCTACCCAGGCTACTTCAGGATTTGGGGCTATCCAGAACTAGGAATCCAACTTTTAAGGCAGGACAAGCTATAAACATTTAAAAATACATAATACGTATGTATGTACATGGGTGCCCCTGATGAGCTGCTGAACATGCCGACCAAAAGGTCAGCAGTTCAAACCGGGGAGCGGGGTGAGCTCCCACTGTTTGCCCCAGCTTCTGTCAACCTAGCAGTTCAAAAACATGCAAATGTGTGTAGATCAAGAGGTACTGCCTCGGTGGGAAGACAAAGGCACTCCATGCAGTCATGCCAGCCACTTGATTTTAGAGGTGTCTATGGACAAAGCTGGCTCTTCGGCTTAGAAATAGAGATTTATTTCATTTATTTACAGTATTTTTATACTGCTTTTCTCACCCCTAGGGGGACACTAGAGATGAGCACAACCCTCCAGAGTCGGACATGACTAGATGTAATGTCAAGAGGAAACCTTTACCTTTTATGTATGTACATATGTACACACACTTACATCGTGAGCTTGGTACAATGCATTCCTAGCAAAATATCTTCATTATAGTAGTTATTCACATGGAGAGACAACTCCTATGTTTTAGGATTTCTTCTACTCATTGCTCTCCTTTATTCAATTCAAGTTTCTCTGATCACTTGCCACCATCAAGTTCCTCTTTGTTCCTGCACTATTCTGTCCTGCTTGTGGTGGCTATTAGTGCCCATTTGCCACTTGCCTTTCCTCTCAAGCATAGGACAGTAAACAACACATACTATCATATGTTACCTATTTGATATGTTACCTAAGTCTTGAGGTGATAATATTGTTAAAGGCATACCTTGTGAGACTGGGTGAATTCAACCAGAAAAGAACATTGGGGAGAACTAAAATACGTTGTCTGCATGGAGGAAGGATAAAAGGATAAAACTCTTTTCTGAGAGAGGATCAGGCTTGGCTATAAGTTCGTCATGATTTCCAGGCGCCCTTACCCCATGTCAATGAATGGGTAACCCCACTCCTTTGTCTTCCCTTGACTGGTGGTGAAAACATAGAGACAGAGAGGGCCCTCTGTCAAGCCCACACCCGATATAATAAAACAAGCAGCCGATCCCAGCAAGGCCAGTCCTGATAACACAATGGAAAGAAACATCTGTGGGCAAAAGAGTCACAGAAATTAATCCTAATTACACAATTGTGAAGAAATCCAACCCTTAAGCAGCTGAGTGGGGAAAGGAAAGGGCCTGAGGCTGTTAGGGATTGTGGGAGTTGAAGTCCAAAACACCTGGAGGGCCCAAGTTTGCCCACGCCTGACATAGACTAAGGAAGCAAACAAAGTAGTATTTTTTGCCTGTTTTGTTTCAAGTTCCTGTTTTTCCTTAAGTTCTAACAACCGATCCTAGAGTTCCTGGCTGCTGTGAAGCTGGCTCTACTATTAGGCAAAGTGACCCATGGGCATTCAATCGCCAATGAAAGGAGGATTCTACTTCCCGTCTGATCATCTGTGCCTGGAATGGGTCAATGGCATCATTTTGAGTTTAGCCTCAAGCAACGAAATATCTTGAGAATACATGCCAACAGGAGTAGGAATGTTACAGCTCTCCAGATGTTGTTGGACTGCAACTCTCAGCATTCTTATCATGCTGTTTTCTCTCTCTGGAACCCAAGCCAGTCTTTCTTTTGTGTTGGTATGGAGATGTTTCAACTCCCAACAATAACGGCTGACACTATTGCCTTCTATGGAAATGCTGAAATATGCACGGCACAGAATGGGGAATTCCTCAGATGACTCTGCAATCAAACCCTTTCCTTCAGTGGGACGAATCATCCACCACCTTACCTTTTGGCAATTTCCAGAGCTGTTACAGCAACTCCACCTCCATCCAATGCTTGTGATCTGAATTGCAGCGGGGAAAACCTGTGAGAGAGAAGTGATTCAGAGAGTGAACAGCATTCTCCTGTGAACCACAGTCGGAACATAAAAAGGATCCTTTTATCATGCCCCTATTTTCTCTCTTTTCCCACCAAAGCACCCTGAACATGTTTAATTAACTGTGTATGCTTTATTTAATTGTGCATCCTTAATTCTCTCTGTTTTTCCTTATATTAGAGCAGGGAACACTCTGGTGGTGCAGCAGGTTAAATTGCTGAGCTGCTGCACTTGCTGACCAAAAGGTTGGCAGTTTGAATCCAGGGAGCGGGGTGAGCTCCCGCTGTTAGCCCCATGCAAATGTGAGTATATCAATAGGTAGTGCTCCTGCGGGAAGGTAGCGGCACTCCATACAGTCATGACAGCCCCATGATCATGAAGGCGCCTATGGACAACGCTGGCTCTGGCTTAGAAATGGAGATCAGCACCACCCCCCAGAGTCAGACACGATTAGACTTAATGTCAGGAGAAAGATTTACCTTTACTTTAGAGCAGGGAATACATTACAAATATTGTTACAGTACAACTGCTATTCTCTTTGACCATTCATTTCCCAAGCTGGCTGGGGCTGATGTGAGATGGGAGTTTAACAACCTCTGAAGGATCACAGGTAGAGCTAGACAAAATACTTTTTTGGGCCTCAGTTTCTAAAATCCCACAACCAAAGTGTTCTTGAGAAGGGCAGACTGGAGAAATATTCACTTACCAACAGGCCTCCTCCCCACAGCCCTGGCATGACCATGGCTCTCTTAGCGATCTGGCCCATGTTTAGGTAATGGCTTTTCCAGCTGGGGAAGAGCAGGAAAAAGTTGGCAATGATGGAGAGAAGACCCAAAATCAGGAGGACTGGACCCAAGGTCCGTGCACATGTCCCCACACACATTCCTAGTAAGCAACCCTATGAAGGAAGAGAAAAGAAGCAGAGGAAAATGAAGAGCCTGTTTAAATTCAGGAGAGATATACTGCACTTGTGGTGTCCCACCAGTAGCAGTAAATCTAGAAAATCAACTTCTCTACCAGGGGCTTCCAGATGTTTTGGACTACCCTTCCCATCATTCCAATTTTTGGCTGTGCTGTCTAGAGCTGATGATGGCACCTGTAGTCCAAAACATCTGAAGACATCTGGTTGAGGGTGAATAATCCTGAACTCATTTTTATCACAATCCATTGTAGATGTTTCTCCCAGTGAGAGAACATTTAACATAGGGTCCTTCCACACAGCCCTGTATCCCAGAATATCAAGGCAGAAAATCCCACAATATTTGCTTTGAACTGGGTTATCTGAGTCCACACTCAGATAATGTGGGATTTTCTGCCATGATATCCTGGGATATAGGGCTGCGTGGAAGGACCCTCAGTTTCCTTGTGAGGTTTCCTTCCCACATGTAGGAATCTCTCATTACCACCAGATTATCTCTGTTCAGGGAAATGGTTCAACACATATGGTTTTATTCACTTTCACCTGATGTTGTTAGCCTTATATAAGTCATGTAGAAATTGGGGCTATTTTTCTTCTCTTTTTGGAATAAGTAAAAATCAGATATTTGGTAGCTCATTGAATTAATATGCAATGGTGTTACTGTTTAAGATGTTACTCTAGAATTGTTTTCTAACTTGGTAAGTTTTCTCAAAGTGTGTGATTGAAATGGTCAAAAGGATCTCAAGTTAGCCGCCTCTTCCTGTTTTATCGTCGTCCTGCTGCTGGAATATTTTGAAGCTAATATGCATATTGTAACTGCGTTTGAGGAAACATTTCAACACATCCTCTGAAGAAGGTTTTCATGAAGACAGTTACATGAGTTTTGAATGTTATGCTCTCCTAAGTCAAGTAGAATCAGATCTGTTCTATTCAAAAATATATAAGATAATGTTTGTACTAAGATGTACTGTTTCATCTGTTTCAACTAAATATTACAAACTTTGGTAAAACATGTTACAGTACACATATTTATTATTAATAACAATTAGGTTCATTTATAGTAAGTTAGATTGATCACTTTTGATATATTGTACATTTCCCTATTTGCAACATAGTACTGTATATATAGAGCAGTGTTTCTCAACCTGGGGGTCGCAGGGGGTGTCAGAGGGGTTGCCAAAGACCATCAGAAAACACAGTATTTTTGTTGGTCATTGGAGTTTTGTGTGCCAAGTTTGGTTCAACTCCATCGTTGGTGGAGATCAGAATGCTCTTTGATTGTAGGTTAACTATAAATCCCAACAACCACAACTCCCAAATGACAAAATCAATCCCCTCCAACCCCACCAGTATTCAAATTTGAGCGTATTGATTATTTGTGCCAAATTTGGTCCAGTGAATTTAAATGCATCCTGCATATCAGATATCTACATTACGATTCATAACAGTAGCAAAATTACAGTTATGAAGTAGCAACAAAAATAATTTTATGGTTGTGAGTCACCAGGACTCACAACCAGAAAGAATTTGGGGGAGGGGGGGGGGGGGGGGGGTTGATTTTTTTTTTTAGTGAATTATGAAAAGTAGTTCCATAACACAAAATAGTTTAAATAGTAGTATGGTTCATTCTATATTTTATATAGACTTAATTAAATCAATTTTCTCATCTCCTTCATGGGGGGCTTCAAATCTCTCCTATGCTTTAGGCTTTGCCTATTAGTTGTAGGTGGGCCAACTTGGTTGCTTCCACTATATCAGCTATTACTGCAAGTAATGGCTGTGAATAAATTGTCAAAACTTGCTGGAGATACTGCTTGCAGTTCTGGAGGGACTCGTTTAATTTTTGCTTCTCATAGACTTAGCAGGGGGATTTGGTTAACCATTTAAAATGTATGTGTAAACTAGGGTTTTTTAACCTGGAAATTTTCAGGGTGGTGGTGGTGGTGGTGAACCCCTAACTCCCTCCCTTGGCTACAGCCCTGGGGGTCATCACAACATGAGGAACTGTATTAAGAGGCCATGACATTCAGAAGGTTGAGTATTTCTGTATGTACAAAGCGTGAGATTTGTACATACAGAAACTGATTTCTTCAGTTTTTGATGTTCAGGCCATGGATGCCATTGCTTTTGTAGCCAAAAGTATTGCAACCAACTCTCATACAAAAGGCTTGCAGAAATATATAAAAATCTTTTAAAAACAAACTTACTGCTATTGCCCAATGAAAAACTTGACCATGCTCAGTGGTCGGGGCAGGAAAAACAGGCAAAGGCATGGACTACAGAACCCTAAACAGGACTCAGGATCACAGGTGGATCTGTTGTGTGGGCAATCTTTTGGGTGCTGTGTTTGCATCTCCTGTATCTGCTCTATATTATAGGATTGTTCTTCTATTCCTACATCCTTTTGCTGAGAGGTCCATCACTGGGGAAACTCACGTAGAACTCAGAATAGCTGTGTGTGTGTGTGCACTTAAAGTTAAGAGTGGATTTGTGGGCCCCATGGAAGGACTGAGTGCTGCAATATATTGTTGTAGGTTGCATTTGCCCCCTTTGAGCCAAGATGCCCCAAAGGGAATAAATAAGACTTGGAAAGTGTTTCTTCACTGTTCTTTTTCCAATCCTCTCTTTATAAACCCTGTTGTTGACTAGTTTTCTCTTTGCCAGAAGAATAATTCTTCTCCTGTTACTGTGAAGCACTGTATCCAGTGCAAGGGTTCTCCTTCAGACAATACAACCAGCAATTGACGTTATTTATGAAAACTCATCTTCCATCTCCTCATTCACCCACCATTTTAGTTTGCTTTGTTAAATAAGGGACCCAAACGTATGTGAAAGTTGGACTAAAAACCATGGCAGACCTCAAGGAATAGGATTTTTAACTCCCAGCACTTCTTGTCATTGTTCATGTTGCTGGGATTTACAGTTTGGAGCACTGCCCAATTCACAGTCCTGGCTTAAATCCAATTGCCAACCCCAGTAAATCCACTATATGCTATATGTAATGTAATGTCTAGGTAAATCCTATTAATCTAATGCACTAGTTCTCAAAGTGTACTCCGCAGAGCCCTTGGAGCCTCAGCAAACCATACTGAGGGGCTCCACAGTTCCCTCCTCCTCCTCCCTCTCCAAGGCTTCCATGTCGCCAAAAGCCCTTTTTCCTCACTTTCCGTGCCACCCAGATTCTTTCACCCTCGCCTTGTTTGCTTCCAAAACCCTATGTCCCTCCCACTACTCAGAGGGTGCTTCGGTTGTGCCTTTTCTGCATGGCAGAAGGGGGTTGGGCTGGACAGCACCTGGGGTCTTCCACTGAAATACTGTTAAGTTGATGTTGGTCAAAAAGTTTGCCCATGCTGGATATACAGTAGATTTTTGCTTATCTAACATAAACAGGCCAGAAGAACGTTGGATAAACAAAAATGTTGGGTAATAAGGATTAAGGAAAAACCTATTAAATGTCAAATTACATTATGATTTTACAAATTAAGCGCCAAAAGATCACGTTTTACAACAAATCGACAGAAAAAGCAGTTCAATACACAGTAACGTTATGTAGTGATTACTGTATTTACGAATTTAGCACTGAAACATTGTAATTTATTGAAACAGCTGTGGATTCGGGCGGGAGGCAGATTGCATTGAATAATACAGAACGTTGGATGTGCGAAGGTTGGATAAACAAGACTCTACTGTATATACGTTATATATCATATAATATATAAATGTTTATTGGGGTTTCATGAGAAACTCTGCTTCAGTATAATGTACTTCTATGTATTGCAGTTTCATAATGCATGTGGCAGTGTGTATATGGACTTATATAATGCAGTTCAATGTGGTTAAACTGCATTATGAAACTGCATTATATGGCAGTGTAGATGGAGCATCAGAAAATTATGGTTACATCCTTTATTCTATTTACCTCTGATGTCACCCTAGGTAATTCTGGAAGGATGTATACCTCTTAGCAATATTGCATAGTCCATTGTATTACTGCACCATCCATGTTCATATGGAAGATAAAATACAAGTCTCTCCTGAAAAATGAAGTTTGAGAAGTATATGTGAAAGGCATGACTCTCAACAGGTCAGCCAGAATCCTGCACAAACAGACAGAGCATAAATATATCCTCAAGGAGTTATGCCTAAGTTGCCCTTTGCTGGTTTGTTACAATACGGTGGTAATCAAATGGAGATTGTGCATTTATTGTGCAGTACACAACCACATGTAATTATACAATCAAACAATGGACAGTGGCCCCACTTGCGTATCTCTGCTTTCATAACTTTCAAATGAATATGATTATGCATTGGCCAAAATTATCCACTCACTGGTTAAGTTATGCATGTATGAGATAGCAACAGAATGCAGCCATGATTGTGGGGCTCATGCAACCACAAAGTATTAAGAATTGTCGTTAATATTCTAAGTAGTATGGCTCCAGTGACAAAAAAGAAAGAAAGACACAATATATTACCAATCACAAGGAAAAAGTGGGCAAAATTCTGTAGACTTTCCAAAAAACTGTGTTGAAACTTACAATGAAGCATTCTGGACCTGTCTCAGCAAGGAAGAAAATTGGGCAACTTGGAAGGACCTTCTTATAGCAACACCAGAGGCCAGCTACTGGTCAAAGGATATTTAATATAATGCCAAGTTTGCAAACTTAGTGTGTGACATCATAAATAAATAAAGCACGGAAGAAACAAATTATATCACTTATGCAGTCCCAGTTTCCTCTGGCTGAGATTCCATGACTTTTCATTTCAGCAAGCCACCATCAAATGGACCACAGAACATTAATTCATCCCAATAATACCACTTACCTTTGCAAAATACAGAAACAATACAGCAGTGAAGAGCTTGTGGTATAATGTCGTCCCTCCTGCAAAGCACAGTTTACACCATCAACAGTTAGTGTTGCAACAGGCAGCGATTATTCTAACCAAGGCTGCAGAAGCTGACAGCTATTTAAAGTCTTCTG